CCCCCAAACCCTTCTCGGCAGCTGGCGGCGGCACCAGGGCGGAGCCCTTACAATAAATTACAGTAAATGCAGTTTAAGCTTCAGCGCTCCTTGATTGCAAACTCAAACTTGCCGAAGGCCCGTGAAATCAGCAAAATGGCCTGACCACACTCTCAAAGGGAATATGAATATTACAGTAATAGTTATTGTCTAGAACTGTGGCCCATTGCTACACCGGTTGCTAAAGCACTCCCAGCAAACACCAAGGATATCTTCGTCTTGAGAGTTTGCGCCTCTGCCTCTCCTCCCAAGAACTCGTAGCCACCCACGCGTGAATTAGTGCTGGGCGGTGGCCAGGTTACTTCCAAGTCGAACATCACCACAGCTGTCCAAATGCCGGCCTCACTGACAAGAAATGGGAAGAGGTAAATCGATGTGCGCTACTTCCATAGAATTGTTTCTTGCTGTCATCTTCCCCTCCTTGTGCAGCTGATGCCCCATCTGATGAGCAAGGACACAACCATGGGAGTAGCCTCCCACAGTAAAGCCGGCTTTTGTTTGATGAGCTCTTGTGCGTCTGGAATGAGCAGACTCATCAAGCCAGTGTAGGCAGTGCTATGCACTGCTATGCATGGCAATGCGAGCTGTTTTCCAGTTCATAGCAGTTGCATCAAGGCACCGCATGGAACTTTTCTTGAGATCTCTTGTTGCTAGCGCGGCTTGCGCCTGCAATGATAATCAGATTCGCGTCTGATCCGGCCTCTGAGATTTGAGTTGCTTTCGATTTCCGCGAGCCGCTTGATTTTCGGGCCCGAAGACAAACACCCAGTGGCAGTCTAGTAACTACTCATAAATAGGGGCTAGTAACTGGTAGTGATTAGTGATTAGTAGTGACTATTATGGTATCCGGAGGTGCATCTCAACACACATAAAGGATAACTTCAACGTTGCGTTCCCTTTGCACCACTGTGCTTTTCGTCGAATGGCATGCTCTGTAAACAACCAGAGCTCGGCCAAGCTCGCAGCAGTGTGGCTCCTGGCGTCTTCAAGCACCTGGAGCTCTCATGAAGCGATGCCGCTCATCATCTCATCTTGTCAGCGAAAGAACGTTTTCGTGAAATCATAAATGCTTAATAAAAACGAAGTTGTGCTGTATCAGTCATGCGAAAGAATAACGAAGTGGTGCGAAATAATAAATTCTCAATCAGTCATGCACCACTTCTGCCGGGCTTCCGGACTCGCCGGTTGTAGCAAGCTGCAAGCTCAGGAATGGAGTTGCATTCCAAAGCCTTCGCCGGACATACTCGAGAGCCAGGTTTTTCTCCGCTGTTTTGCAAGGGGTTGCATCACAGGCCTCCACAGTGATTGGAAGACTCTGACTAAAACTATGAGAATTATCAGAATCTAGCGGATTTGACTGGATCTCGAGCAGTACTACCAATCCAACATCGCTGCAAAAGAAAAAAGAAACAACTAAGGCCGAACACTCGGACAGCGCCTCCGGGTCATAGACCACCGCACCCACCCTTTCAAGGTACAGTGGTCATGATATATGATGATCAACGTGTTGTCAGCAGCATCCAACCAGGCCCTACTGAAATGATCGTACGGCTGAGCCATCAAAGCAGGAACCATCAAAGGCTTTCGGTTGGTCACACTAGCATGTCCCCTTGTCACACGATGGTGATTTGCCGCCTGCATGGAGCCAAGCATGGCGCAATGCTGGTAAAGGTGCTGCCACCGCTTAGGGCATCACCATCAAGGCCTAATTAGGAGCTCCAAGCTACAACTCAAGCAACCAGAAGCCGGTTTAAAGCTTCAACTGCTCAATGTTCAACCTGCTGAGTTGTCTTTTCTGAAGACCACCCTCACAAATCTTGAGGCACAGGCCATGTATCAAGTACACCTTGGCGCTCTCCACTTTGCCAGACCTCCAATAGTCAAGTGCGTCATAGGTAACATGCAACTGTGGCCTATGGCTATCTGCCCCAGAAGGTTGGCGCGGCAAAGGATGTAGCAATGCTGGAAAACGGTGATCAAGCCCATGACTGTCCACAAAATGTCACTGTGTGTCGCGAGGCCCCAGTCATGAGCTTCCAAGCCAAGTGCCTCAAAATCAGAAGCTTGTCAGATCCGATGATCTCTTTGTCCTTCGGTGCTGCCTGCCCGCAAAACGAATGCTGCACGTCCCAGTCCAATTCCAACAAATCCGCCAAGCACATACGGTTCACTGTTCCAAAGCATGGCAGCAGCAGTTAGCTTCTTCAGGCCTTCTTTGTGCTAAGCTGATGTGCACCATTTGCACCAGCGCCTGTCGCTCCAAAATATCACCAATGAAAATGACATAGAATGACATATAATGAAAATGAAAGGATAAGGAGAAGCACAACAAAAATGACAATAAAAGGAATATGAAAATGAAAAATTAACATTAAAATGAACATGAAAAAGCAAAAACAAAAATTACATGAAAATGAAAGAACATTGTATGAAATATGAAAATTGACAATGACCATGAACAGAATATGAAAATAGAATGAAATGAAATGAACATGAAATGACATGTGAATGACACGAATGAGTGAAATGAAATGAAATTGCTGGAAATGAACTGAACTGAATTGAATTGCAATGAAATGAAACAAAACAAAATGAATTGAACAAAAAATATATATATCTTCTTTGGTTAGTGATTAAATAATGAAAGAAGGAAGGAAAGGAAGACAGAAGGAAGGAAGGAAGGAAGGAAGGAAGGAAGGAAGGCATGAATCAAACATTGAAGAACCGTGTCTCTTTCCACCGTTTCAACTTACAGCAAATTGCAATGGTTACTAGAACAAAAGTGATCACAATGCCATCAACAGTGGATAAGAGTCGTTGAGGTGATTCGATAAGTTCCCCGATTGGCTTCAACTTGAATCATTTGGGGCTCACCGCCCCAGGTGAGCAACCACACCTCCGCCATGCGCAACCATACGCAAACATTCACTAAAATCAGACGGCCCTAGCCCAAGGTGTTGCAGGAGGCTAGCGTTTTTCAAACTGAAGTGACATGCATGCGCTCATTTGTTCCTCTTTTTGTTCCGTTTGAACACTTGGACGGAGCAAGTTTGTATTGCAAACAGCCGATAGCCTATCGTGAACTCATTGCTTTTGCAGCAAAGTAATGAGATTTGGGCCTCATTGAGATTCTGCTTAGGTAAGAAACATCGACCTGACGAATGGTCCTTGAGCCCAAATGCCATGCATTGCTGACACAGGCCGTTCCCATTGTCAAACATGCTAGAGCTAGAACGCACGCAAGCAGCTAAATCGTCAGCAACCACAACTTACCCCGGCAGTATGTTGTGGAGCCATGTGTATGCCATGTGTAACCTCGCCAGCAATCGCAACTCAACATCCAATCAACAAGCAGCACAAATCTTCTCCCTGTTACGGTAGCAAAGCTTGCTTGAAAGAGCCAATGCGAGCCGCCTTCAGCTCAAACAGGAATTTACCCCCATTAGCAACCATGCGGCACAGGCGGCATAGGCATCCTCCTTCTGCTGCGCCCCTGTTTAAAGCATACTGCTTTTTGCGCAGATGGCATCTAAGGCTTGCGGCAAGATTGGCTCAAGTGAACCATCTGGCTCTCGCTGCTTAGCACATGGTTAAAATGGCCTGCTTCCTCTCTTTTCACGCTGGCAGGTCGACATTCGGTTTTGCCGGATGTAAAACCTCACCACCGAGGCAGGACAGTGCTGAAAATCGCAAAAAGCGCGGCGATGTTCGAGGTCCAGTTGAGGTCCAGTTGCCACGGTTGAGGTGGAAAGTAGACAAGCTTCTATAAACTGGACAACTTGGCATCATTGGCAACAACCTTGCTGTCATGGATTTCGGCTTCTAGCTCAAAGCTTCATCCTGCTTCATGTTTCTCAGTATTTCTCAACCCTCTCATGTCATACCAAAATCAAGCAACATGTTGTATAATATAAACAGATCACAGGTTCCTGGATATAAAGGCTGAAACACGCTGAAGCTCTACAGCTCGCGAAAGCTCTATGAGCAGCAAATCTTGCGGACAAGTGTGCTCAAGGTGTCCAACGAACCTCAGCTAGCCAATGTCATGTCAAGAGCGATGGCCTCCAACCAAATAGTATTGACATTTGACATAGTCGTCATGATCTTTGGGATGGCCCGCTTCCGACAAAATGGGATTCCTAAGGCCTGCTGTTTCTTATACTGGTTCCAACACCTCCAACCTCTTCACGAGCTCCAGATGTTGAGTCTACCAACCACTGTGTCAAAGCCAGGTGGCCTATCCAATGATGGTTCTAAGGGCAATTGCCAAAAGTAGGCTTTGCTTAGAAGAGCTGGCTGTTGTTGCTGGTGTAATGAATTGCAAGAAATCTATCAGCTGACCGATGTAACCTGGACAACGTGTGATGTGCACCGCAGTACGATCGACTCAGCGCTGTGGATGGCTGAGGCCTCCCACCTTTCTTCACTGCCAACTCCTGCTTGAGGGGATGTAATACAGCATCGTCTTCCCTTTGAGCGGAACAAATATTGGTGTCTTTACCTTAATTAGTGCTCAAAAACTTAAAATTGATTAATCACACCAACTCAAAGGAGAGTTCCATCTTGGCTCTGGCGGTCTTTAAGGACAGGGACATGGAAGCTGTCGGCAAACATGGCGCGCTGCAGAGGCGGCAGTTCAAAGAACACTACCCTCACAACGCGCGCATCTAAATGTTTTTGAACCCGGAAGGACCACCTCTATCGTGCTTGTCGTATTCATGTGGGTCATCAATCAAAATATTACATATCCCTGAGAAAAACACGAAAAACGCTGATGTGCGGAACTGCGAAAAAAAAGGAAAGGCCTTCAAGAGAGTACAAACCCTGCCTCAGCCTTGGGAGCTAAAGTCGCAGCGCCAACCTCACCGCGTGAAATGGGAAGGAGAGATCGATTTGGGACACGCGGTGAGGCATGCAGGCTGCTCCTACGGGAGGAAGTCTCCACGGAGAAAATAGTATGTCTTTGATCGCTACTAGTAACAAGGGGCATCGCTACTACGTAGGAGCAAGAAGCTACTAGGGGCTCCTGGCCTTGCTACCAGGAACAAGAAGCTACTAGGAGCAAGGTGATGGCTCGGCTTTCTGGTTAAAAGGACCTTGTAAGCGGAAAGCCGTCTTAGCCGAGGCCATTTGGTTTCCCCTTTTTGCAAGAATTCTCATTGAAGAGGGCCTTGTCTTCCTGTTTCTTCTCTCACGAGTGGCCTTGTCTTCCTCTATCCAAGCCGGGTCGTGCAGCCGGGTCGCCGGAGGCGCTGTCTCCGAAGGTCCACGCACTTGGCCTCAGAGGGATGTGCGATCAAAACGTGAAATGGCGGTTTTAAACCATAGTTCTTGGCATTTATTGGTGGGTCTCATCCATTCAACATGTTTTTTTAATGGCCCCAAACAGCTTGGAGATGTGATGTGTCTGTGTTTTCTAACTTGGGCGGACAAAAGCATTG